TGGAACAGTCCTGTTGCTGACGGGCCTGTTCTCACATGGTCCCACTCCAGGTTGTCCCATTCCCAGAAGCTGTGACGCTCATTGCGGACTCCCTCCCACCCCCAGACCAGTGAAGAGGTGTCTACTGAAATTTTACATCAGGATATTCTTCTTTCAAAAAGACTTACTTATTTGTGTATACGGTGGTTTTGTCTGCATGTATGTCCGCCCACCAGAAGAGGGTATTGGATCCCGTGGGACTGCAGTTACGGAGGTTGTGAACTGCCTTGTGTGTGCTGAGAACTGAACTCAGGACCTCTGGAAAAGCAACCAGTGCTCTTAACCACTGAGCCATCTTTCCAATCCTCTTCAAGATACTCTTACATATTTTTATATATTCTGATATATTTTTAATCCCAGTGACTGCTGGTACTGAGTAGAACGGTAACTAGTGCAGGGTGGCCTTGCTTCCCAAGTTCTTGCAGAGGCACCAGCGTTTTCCCCACTGTGTTAACACAAGAGGAAGGGGAAGAGGAGGAGTATGAAAATATTTTGGCCTCATCAACCCATTATGAAGTCTTGGGGACCCGGAGGTCTACAGACCCCCTCTGACAACCACTGACTTAGACTATGCAGGATCTAACTGTCTGTCTAAGGGTGACCTTTCTGTGACTCACACGAGGATGAAGTGAGGGGGAGGCTAGACTAAATATGACTCTGTAGGCGAGGAGGAAGTGGAAGACACTAGACAGGCAGCAGACACTGGCCAGCACAGGGCAAGAGGCTTCCTAAAGTGTTACAGAACATGTGCATGAAGGCTCCCAGAGCATGCTATCTTTCTGAGCAATACTGTAGGGGGGGAGAGTGGCAGAGGGGTCTGAGCCAGCTGGGAAATAGGGTTTTCTGTGGAATCAGTGGACAGATGAAAGGCACCAAGCTGTTACATCTGGAGAGCTCTGGGGACCATGAGTACAGGTCGTGTGGGGACTTTGTGGAGCGTGAGGTCCGTGGAGACTGAAAGAACACCCTTGAGTTCCATGAACGTGATGTTGAAGGGAGAGGTCATAGGTCAGGAGGAAGGAAGCCGATCTGTTAAAGGGCATCTGCTGGGACTCTGAGCAGCTGATGGTGGCATTGACAGATGCTGCCATGTCTTCTTTATGGCCATCTTTCATATGAGGAAGCTGAAGGGACTCTGCCCTTCAGTCTCGGGTATACTGGGTGATTTCAGCAGGAAGAAGTTGGTTAGGGTGCTGAGGAGGCGGAAGTGGATGATTAATGGCATTGTTTTCTTTTTTTAATTTTTAAATTTATTTTTACTTTTTTTTCAATCTTTAGATGAGAAAAACACACGGTTGATCTAAGACTCTACGAACCAAAATATTCCAAAACCTAAAATTTGAATGCACAAAATGTTTCAGATTTTAGATTTATGGAATAAAATCATAAACCAGTATAATCTATGAAAATGTTCCCAAATCTGAACCGTCTTGGTTCCAAGTATTTGGATAAGGGGCACTCAGCCTGTAATTGTCTTTAGGATGCACAGGATTCTTGCCCATAAATGATTCTGATGAAGTCCTGGGGAAATGGCAGTGTACGTATTTATACAAACATAACTTTATACCACCTGGGTTTGAATCCACCAATAATGGTTTGGGAGGCAGACTCACAGCCTGAGAAAGCACCACTTGATGGGCTAGAAGTCATGGATTGATGAATTGATTTTCATTTGGCAAATGGTGCAAGAACTGGTAGCACAAACGCCTGTATTCTCAGCAGTTGAGAGGCTGAGGCAGGAGGTTTGCCATAAGTTTGAGGCTAGCCTGAGCTACAAAGTGAGGCTCTGTCCCAAGAACAATGGCAACAGAGTTTTTCCCATTCTTTCCTCCTTTTTAAAGTTTTCAATTAGTTGACAAATTAAAATTTAGTTACTTTTATATTATATGTATTAGTGTTTTGCCTGCATGTTTATCTGTGTACCATATGTGTGTCTCATGCCCATGGAGGTCAGAAGAGGGTGCCAGAAACCCTGGAACTGGAGTTAGAAACAACTATTAGCCACCATGTGGGTACTGGGAATTGAACCTGGGTCCTCCGGAAGAGCAGCCAGTGCTCTTAACCACTGAGCCATCTCTGTAGCTCCATCTGTTGATTCTTAGTAGTTTGGGACCATTTGTTTAGTAGGTAGCTGCTAAACATTTTTGAAAGTTCAGAGAGTAATTGGAGTGCATTAAAAATGTGTTTGAAATTGTCAGGGAACAAATATAATAGTCATAAAAAAAGCCCAGTATTTAAATCAAAGTGTGGTAACTTCTGGGCAAATGGGTGGGGTTGGCTGAGAGATAAGACAGATGGGGACACTTGCCTTTGGGGGCCTGTGTGCCTGTTGGTGGGGAGCTCTAGTGATCTTGGGGACTCCCACTCACTGGTGCCTTCCCAACTTGTACCTGACAGACCAAAGGCTCTGTGTCATCCTGCCGGCTTGATGGGATTCTACCAGCTTGCCTGCAACAGGTCGTGATTGGTTCACTGGTGGTGATGTATGAATGAATCCTCAGGTTTCATCCAGACTCTGGCCTCCCCTCAGTAAAAGGAGCAAAGATGAGTGGCTTCTTCCTGGGATGTGATGAGGCTTTGGGAATGCCCGTGCGGTATGCTGCAGGCGCTGACTGGCGAGCTGCCTTTGTGTGTTCCACTGGTGTTGCCCTCGGCAGAATCTGATAGTTCACAGCAAGGACTACCTGTCCTCTGGCTTGCAGCCTGCCCCGAGAGGTGGGCTGTTAAGATGATTGACAAGCCATGGGGTAGAGGCGCTGAGGTGGGCCCCAGAGACAAGCATAGGATAGTCAGAACGGACACTGGAATGAGGCCGGGGTGGGTGGGGGTAGGTGGGGAGCTGTCAGTGTGGGCCCACTGAGGACTTGGAGTTCATGCTGAGGTGGCTGAGCTTTTCCTGTGGGTGATAGGACATTGGCTCATTTTCTGTGATGGGTCATAAGGCAGCAAGCATGGACACCAGAAACCTGAACTAAGGACAGAGATGTCTGGATTTTACTGTGCTGTGAACATGCTGTTAGTTAGTGCCTTGGTACAGCTGTAAGCATCTGCTCTTTCTCACTGCTTCTTGGATTGGGAACGTTAAGATTTTGGGGACCAAGCCGTTCACACTAGGCTTCCTCTCAGGGACTGTCTGCCATTGAAGGCCTGGCTGAGGTTGTGGAGTCTGCTGTCACTGAGACATCACACTCCTGGAGTTGGCAGCCTAACTGGCCAAGTGCTGCATGCTGGCTGGTGGCTTCAGTTTCTTTCCAAATCGGCAGCTCTGCAGGGTTGCTGAAATAGCCCTGTAAAGTGGCAGAAGCCACATAGCATCCCCTCCGCCATGTCTGACTAACGTGTAGACAGCAGTGATTCATTGTACATGGGGCTGGAATTATTAAGGTCATCGCAGAGGCTGCCTGCCTGCCATGTGATTGCCATCAGCTGCTCCTGGGGTGTGCTGCCCCCTCATAGCTTAGTTTCTTCCTGTCGTCCACTGCCTGGGCTGGCTTCTGTCTGGGTTTTTAGGCTCTCATGGAAGTCCTGTTGTTATCCAGTGGAAATCTTTCTTGATTTTGAAATCCCTGGTCACAATTATGTGTTGTGCTGATTGGAAGATGAAGAATAAATATTTGTGGCATGTATTCTAACAAATCTCAAAAGCCTGGGCAGACAATTGAAAATCTAGATCACGCACAGATAAAAACCTCAATAGCTTGTTAACTCCTGGGGTTCACAAACTCCAAGGCCCTGGGCAGATTTATCTGTTTCAGCCTTACTTAACCCTCTGTGAACCTTTGTGGTCTAGAAGGCAGAGTGTGGAGAGAGGGGAAAGTTTTCTGAGCTCCTGGACTTAACAGCACCAAGCTGAGATTTGGTCCCTTGTCTCTCTGATCTCTGAGACCTTGTTGTCTGGGCTCTGTATGCTTCTGCTCGGGGCATCACTTTGTAGTTTGAAAGAAGGGGCCCATGAAGGATTCCATTTGACATTGATAGTTATGTGAGGGGGAACAGGAGTCTAGAGAGGTCCTAGGATTTGCCTTGGGCAGCCCTGCTGGATGGGTAGAGCCCAGACAGGAAGTCCCAGGCAGGTGCCGTAGGGAAGGCGTTGAGGCCTCTGTGGTGCTCCCAGGGGCGGTTGTGGTGGGCTGAGGTGCAATTGCCTCATTTCCCACTGTCCTCATCCTGCCCCTTCTCCCATGCATGGCCTTGTTGCCACACTGCCTCATGCTGCTGCTACTGGCCTTTTATTCCTTGAGGCCCAGCTGCGGCCTGCCTCTGGGCCAGAGGGGAGGGCCTGTGAAATTCACATTGGTTCCAGCACCCCGTCTGCATTGTTGGGGCCTCCCATGACACAGGACCCGCTCTGCTCACATAATGGCCCCCGTTGAAGGACTCTTCTGTAGGAATTTAGACATGAATTTATTCTGACAGTGCCTGCTTCGGTCTCCCGGAAGTGGAAACGTGCGGAGTCCAAATGACCTCGTGACTTTCTCGCTCCTGGGAGGGCTCTGATCAAATGCCTGGGGCTTTGTTCCTTCTCTTTCTCCTTCTCCTCTTCTTCTTTCCTTGGGGATAAATTATAACTTCTGTGTGTGTCCCCAGGTCCTACTTGCCTTCTTGAGGTCTCCAGTTTGGCTGGATGAAACCTTTTAAAAACCAGGCTACTTAGGACCCCACTCCTGATAAATTTCTACCTGGGCTGTCTGAACTTTTGTTATTTTTTTTTTCTTCTGTTTTCCTGTTGTGGGGATCAAATCCAAGCCCTGGTACGTGCCGAGCACATGCTCAACCACATAGCTCTGCCTCGGCTCTTAGGTGTCACTTGTGTCTCAGTTTGTGTTCTCGGTGCACAGCCACCTCTTGTCAGGGAGAGACCTCCCTCCCGAGTCTGCCTGCTAAACTTTCTCAAGGAGGGAGACCTGGCAAGCGTCACTTAAGATTGCTTGGCTAACAGACATTCTTTCTCTTTCTTCCAGTCTGCAAGTATTCCTGCCACAAGAAATGTGAAGCCCAGGTAAGCATTCCATGGCTTTCCCGTGGGACTTCTTTGAGCTGGCCTTCACTGACTGATATGCAGAGGGGGAGGGGGCCTCTGGACTCCAGCCTCAGAAAGGAACTGGGAGCTAGTGGAAAGAGACCAGCCCGGGGGGATACTGCTGAGTGCGGCTTGTAACTTTCATCTCAAGAACAAACCCAAAGAACTTGGAAATCCATGTTTTTAATTATAGAAAATAATTCTGAAGAATTTGATTTCAGATAAGACCTCAGTCATCCTTTTCTGGCCGCGCCACCACCAGCTCCTTGCCAGTGACGAGTGATCCCGACTTTCTCTGTGTGTTGGCATCTATTCATGGGGCAGAGGCGTGGAAACAGAGTCAGGGCGCGTGGTTAGCCTAGAGGAGTGAGCTGGCTAACGTTGAGGGTAGTTAGTTGTTCACGGTTGTTAGGGAAAACCGGGGCAGCCTGGAGTAGGGATCATTAGGCCGAGTGTGTGTGTCCCCAGAGTGCTTGAGAGCCAGGTGGTCCCCTGGTTGGCGTGGACTGGCTGCCTTGCCTGTGATGAGCAAAAAAGTGAGGGGGCCGAGAAATGAAGGTGCCAAGGTGTACCTTATCATTCTTCCCCTTCTCTGTGTCCACAGCTCTGGATCTCCTGGTTTGAGGTTGGTCTTCAGTGTGACTACAGCCTTTCCAGACCTAGCTGACTGTCAGACTGTCAGGGGTCTTGGTGAGCTGTCCCTCTGGCTGTAGGACGAGGGAGATGGGCTGTGCTGATGTTGTAGACCTCATGGGTCAGTCTGTCCCCAGATCTCCCTCCTGTCTTCAGTCTCCGAACTGGAGGATGTGCTGGAACATTTTAGGATACCGTGAACCACATGGCTTCCCATGCATGTTTTCCATGTAAGGACCAGGAAGGGCATAGTTCCTCCACACAAAAACACACACCCGTACAGACATGCATGTGTACACACCCCATGTCTTTCTATTGCTGTGAAGAGAAACTATGACCACGGCAACTCTTATAAAGAAAACATTTAATTGAGGCAGGCTTACAGTTCAGAGGTCTAGTTCATTGTCATCATTGGCAAAGTGTGGCGGCATGCAGGAAGATGTGGTAGAGAGGTAGCTGAGAGTTCTACATCTGATCCAAATGCAACAGGAAGTGCACTGTCTTGAGCTTTGGAGACCTCAAAGCCTACCCCTAGTGACATACTATTTCCAACAAGGCCACACCTCCTAATAAGGTCACTCCCTATGGGCCAAGCATTCAAACACTTGAGTCTATGGGGCTCATACCTATTCAAAGCACCACACCCCACATTCGTACCTTCATTTTGTTCATACGTACATGCGTGTGTACTCACAGTCATCCATATATACCCTGCGCACACACAGGCGCACATGAACACTCACACCAAGGTGGAAAACAAATGGTCTTAGACCTCATGCTCTTTCCAGAGATGAACGACTTGTCTTTTAAGTGCTTTTATGGACAGCTTTTGAACATTCAGGAAGCAGAGAAGATTGCTGAGAGCTGCTGGTATATGTGTTAGCTAGCTTAAAGCCAGCACTTCCTACCCTCCTCACCCTCTGCCTTTCTCTTATAAGGTCACTCAGAGTTTTTTCTAAGCCTAGTAGGGTGGAATGGAGCAGCTCTGCCTTTCCTTCCTGCTCAGCTCTGTTCTGCAGAAGAGCCTTTTCCACCTGGGGCCAGTGTTTCTTGGTCACACACACCCTTGGGTGGGACTGGTTCCCAGTCCTGGTTTATTTTAGCCTCCCTTCTGTGTGCTGCCTACCTTTAGTCAAAGGAATTGGGTTGCAGTGGTCCCTGGGATTGGGAATGCAGTGCTGAGTGGGGATGGTCCATTTTGGAAGTGAGCCTGACTTGTAGAGGTTCCGTTCCCACGCAGGGACTTCAGTGTGCCTTTCACAGCTCTGTGTCTCCTTTGGCGGCCCTTGTCCTCACAGCGTGTGTCTTGTCACTGATGGGAGTGTGATCAAAGGGCTGAGGTCTTGTCGCCCACTCTGTCCCCCGACTGTATTCCAGGTTCTGACCTGAGCTGCAGAAATGAACCTGCATCTTTTCCTTCCATTTCTGACTACTTAAGATTCCTTGGTTCAAGAAATCATCCAAAAGTCTTAAGTATAACTGATATGGCATTGCTGACCCCAGCAGCTGGCAGTTTGCAGGGAGATGAATAGGCTTTTCCTCCTATCAGATTCTGCCAGGGGGAAATGTAGCCACATTCTTAACACCCCCCCCCCATTTTTAAAATATGGCTTTGAATAGCATGACAGAATGCCACCAGCAATAACAAAGCACCTTCTCATTCCAAAGATACAGAGCTGTGGTGCCAGGGAACCAAGAACCATAAATTCTCAGCAGCCCAGCAGATCTCGGTGGCTGGGAAGCATTTCTTTCAGGAACTGGAGTGTGGTTTCTTCCACATGACTGCTGTGAGTTCTGGGTCTTGCTTGGGTGTCCTAGAGCTCATTCACTTGGGTTTTGGGTCTTTACTAATGTGTGTGTATGTATCCCTGTGCAGCCTCCCTGAATGCAGCTTTGGAAAACTGGAAAGCTTTCCTCGTCTGTCTTGTACTGATGGGGTGGCATGTGCCCCATGTACCCTCCTCATTGGTGTTCCTGAGGAAGAGAGCTAGGAACGGTCACTGCAGCGTATGGTTGGGGTATGGATGGAGTCAACTGCCACGATCGTTGCTCGGTTTGGTTAATGCCACCGTCTTAGGTGTCTGTCCGTGCCTGTGCTTGCACCGAGGATGTGGAGGGGGTTCTATAAAGAGGATTGAGTCACAGTAGGGAGACTGAGTCATAGTAGGGAGACTGAGACATAGTGAGGAGACAAAGAAGCCCCAGTATGGTGGATGAAGTTACTATTTTCCAAAGCTACTAGGCAGCATGTCCCGCAGGCCAGGCCATGAGGCTCAGTGGGCAGATGGAGGGAGAGACCTGGCCTTTGGTCTCTTTATGGTTTTTGGGCTGAAAGTAGGCCAGTCCACCTGCTGTGATCTGAATGACTGTGTCTCTCTCTCTAGCTTCACGTGTTGAAATGTAACCCTGTATGTGATGGCGTTAGGGGGTGGAGCCTCTGGGAGGTTATTAGGTATTGTTGGGTGGGGCCTTATGATTGATGGGCTTAGTGCACTTGTCAAAGAGACACTGGAAAATTTTCTTCTCTTCCATCAAATAGAGACTGGGAAGGCGTGATCAGGCATCCAGAAAGCAGATCCCCACTCAGCGCTAAACCTGTTAGTGCTTTGGTGTTGGAGTGTCCAGCCTTTAGAACTGTGAGCCGTAGATTCCCATCGTTGATGTCACCGAGTTTGAAGTGGATTTTTTGTTTGTTTGTTTGTTTTTAAGGCAGCTTAAATGGACTGAGGTGGGTCTGTCTGAGCTTCAGTTTCCTCATGTGTGGGACAGATGAACAGTACTTCCTAAATTACACACACTAATGGCCTTCTCTTGAAGTGTGATAATGGTGTGTGAGCCCTAGGGAAGTCAAGGAGATGATGTGAAATCTCTTGAGAGTTTGGGATCTCACTGTTCTGCTCCCTGGGTGCTGAGCTGATTCATTTCAGCTCCTAAATGGTTTGGGCCTGATGACTTGGTTTTTCTCTGCCATCAGTTGACTCATGAACATGAGGGGAAGGGAAGGAGAAATACAGAAGTTTTAGGAAATCAGATGTTGATGAAGAGGAAGAAGAGGGGCTGGGGATTGTCCCTGTAATGTGCACAAGAACCAACCTTGTCTTTGCAGCCTGTGGTTGCCATGGACTTTGGCTATTTTTGATATCTGCTCATGCTGGGAGTCACACTTCAGGATCCTGAATCATCAGAGCTCTCCCCATGGAGATTGAACACCAATGAGTTGAGCTGGAGCCTGTTTGGGACAGCATTGAGCAGCCAGCAGGTCCTGGCATTCAGCATCTGCCATAGTCCACAAAGGACCAGTCTCTAGCACCAGGGCTCCATGGTACCCTCAGCCTCTAGGCCCATCCTCAACCTTACCTGCCTGGCTTCAAGCTCCGTTCTATCTGTGACACATCCAAGATGCCTAGTCCTCTGCAGAGAACATGGCAGGGCTAGCATGTGTCTCTTCTTCTTATTGCTCTTTTGCAGCATATGCAGGACTGGGCTGTCACAGATACATATTTCTATGAGGACCAGGAGATGTTCTGAGGACACAGGGAAACCAGTGTGAGTTCTTGCTTTGCTTTGTGTTAAGCCCTCGCCTATGGATGTCCCTGCTCTGTCTTGTTGCTTTGTGTCCAGACTAATCCTCCCTCGGGCCCCAGAGCACCAAGCAGCTCTACTGTCATAGAAGCAGGGTCCAGGTGATTCCCCACTGTGGGAGGGTGACTACACCATGAACATTTGGGAACGAATGAACTTGGTGATGCTTGCTCCGGCTTCAGCATTGAAGATGAGGATGTCCACCTAATTCCCTACCCCTAAGGAATAGAAGTGGTGGACCCAGAGATCTTCCTGGAAATGTATGGACCCAGACATTTTCCTAGGAAAATGAGTCAGTTTCACTTAGTAAAAAACAAAACAAAAAACCCAAAATCAGCATTTTTCATTTTAAAACAACAAAAGCCAAACCCCCAAAGTGCCGTGAACTGAGCTCTTGTGCTGTACATGTGATGGCCGGTTTCTTGGTACACTTTCTGAGGTTCAGTGCCTATATCTGAAGGATGGGCAGTTAGAAGCCAACAGAGTACCGTGGGAGTGACCTGAGACACTGTCTTGTCTCTCCTGACACTGGCTTGTGGTGTATGCTCAGAAAGCATGGAAGTCAGCCAGTGCTCCCAGAGCTTACAGGGAAGAGCTGAGCCTGCAGGCACGGCTGTTCTCTTGTCACTCACCAAGGGCTTCCGTTCTTGGCTGGTTGCTCCGTTCTCGGAGGTGGCAGCTTCAGGACCAAACGATGGCGCTACCCTGAGAGAAGTCCAAGCTGCCAGCTCAGCATTTACCCAGGATTCTTCCACCTGACCCGC